GACCAGAAAAAGAAGGAAGCCAAAGAGAAAGGTACCTGGGTTCAACTAAAGCGCCAGCCTGCTCCACCCAGAGAAGCACACTTTGTGAGAACCAATGGAAAGGAGCCTGAGCTACTGGAACCTATTCCCTATGAATTCATGGCATGATGGGTGTTAAAAATAAACTAATCTGTGGTCTATAAAAAAAAAATATTCTAACAAAAATTATTGCAGACCATGGGAACTATCCAAAAGACTTCAAAAAATCTCATTGAAGAGTAAACCATTAAAGCAGAGTCTTCTAATTACACTTTTATTGCTAATTCTACTTGGTCACAGCTGATAAAATTAGAAATAATTGGGTTGTCAAAAAAGTCATGATGCATGTTTGCATAGAAAACCATAGAAAAAATGTGCTATGGCTTTTCCAATGACCCAATATATCTGAAAGCCTCTATTTTATAATGGAATCAGAAAAAGAATTTATATCTAAAAATGCATTTACAAAATTTTATTTGTGTAGAACTGAACACATTTGTGAGGGTACAATGATTTTTTCAGTACAAGAATATGACGTGTATATTTGAATGCAGATATCTTTTTTAGTTGTTCTTTTCTTCTTTCTTTCTTTCTTTCTTTCTTTCTTTTGCAATATAGTACGTGTTCAATAGAGAGAGAGAGATACAGAGAAAGAGAAAATGAGAAACCACCTCCCAACGGGATGGCCATGCTACAGTTCTCCATTATCCTCTCAGGATTTTGAGCCTGCATGTACACAAGCACAGAGTGATTTTCAAGCTGCCAGGTCTGGGACTCGAACTGCAATCAGCCATGTGGGAGTCCAGCACCTTAATCATTATGCTACCTGTTGGCCCAAAGGTGTAGATATCATTATGATATACAGATTTCCTTTCCTTTAGATATATACCTAGTAGTAGGACAGCAGGATCAAAATGAGCTTTTTTTTTAAAATTGCTAGAAGTCATGTACGCTCATCAGAGACGGAGGGAGAAAACACCCCCACATGGTATGTGCAATCCCTTCTTGTTCATTTATCTATGACATCGGGACCTTGGGCATGTATGTATATGCACTCAAGTGTTTTTTGAGCTGCCAAGGTCAGGATTCAAACCACGGTTGATCCTGTGGTATCTGGCTCCCTTAACCAGTAGCCTATGGTGTCAGTCCCCAAATGAGCTTTTTAAAGTCTTACAAATTAACAATAAAAACAATAAAAATGGGTAAAGGACTAAACAGGCAATTCAAAAAGGAAATCTAAATGGTTAATAAACATGAAAATTTTACTAAGCTGGCTTAATAACCTAATGATAGTAGAAAACTGAGAATACATACATATTAAAAAGTTAACAATGGGGACCAGCTGGTGGTGTGGTGGTTAGGGCAGCTGGATCCCACATAGCCAACTGTGCAATTTGAGTCCTGGACCTGGTGGCTTGTAAAATATACTGGATGTGTGTGTGTGTGCATGCCCAAAATCCTGAGAGAAGAATAGAAGAGAGGGGAACCAGCAGTTAGCGTAATGGCTATGTCGCTGGACTCCCACGTAGTCGACCGCAGTTTGTGTCCCGAACCTGGTGGCTTAAAACTCACGCCGGGCGCGTGTGCGTGCGTGCCCAAGATCCCGAGAGGAGAATGGAGGAGAAGGGATTGCGGCGTGACCATCCCCCCTGGGGGGTGATTTCTCACTTTCTGTCTCTATGTCTCTCTCTGTCTGTCTGGTGAGAGCACGTGCCCTATAGTGAAAATCTCTCCAAAAAAAAAAAAAAGAATAGAAGAGAGGAGACTGTAGGTGTGACCACATGCCCAGATGTTTTCTCACTTTCTCTGTCTCTGTCTCTCTCTAGCAAGTGTCTGCAAGCTATAGCAAAAACTAAGAAGAAAAAGAAAGTGAACAGGGCCAGCTGGCAGTGCAGTGGTTAAGGTGGCTGAATCCTACTTGGCAACTTGAAAAACACACAGGGCAGGTATGTGAGCATGCCCAAAATCGTGAAAGGAGGACGAAATGGAGGAGAAGGGATTGTGGTATAGCCATCCCCTATGGGGAATGCTTTCTCTCCAGTAAGTGCACGTGCCCTCTAGCAAAATAAAAACAAAAACAAAAACAAAACAAAATCAAAGCAAAAACAAAAACAAAAAAACAATGGTAGCTACTTCTATTATCTAAATGGTAGGATTATATTAATAATTTTTCTTTCTTAAATACCCTACAATAAACATGAAAAAAACTCACATTTCAATACTCAAGTGAGCCCTTTTAAATGTTCTATTTTCTAAGAACACAAAATTCTAGAGTAGAAAGAACTCTTATACTTTAAAGCTTTACCCCAGGAAATTGAAGTGTAAAAAGAGACTTGCTTAAAATCATATGGCTGGGGGCCGGCAGTGGCATGGTGGTTAAGGGGGGTGGACTCCCCCCCAAAATCGTGAAAGGAGGACGAAATGGAGGAGAAGGGATTGTGGTATAGCCATCCCCTATGGGGAATGCTTTCTCTCCAGTAAGTGCACGTGCCCTCTAGCAAAATAAAAACAAAAACAAAAACAAAACAAAATCAAAGCAAAAACAAAAACAAAAAAACAATGGTAGCTACTTCTATTATCTAAATGGTAGGATTATATTAATAATTTTTCTTTCTTAAATACCCTACAATAAACATGAAAAAAACTCACATTTCAATACTCAAGTGAGCCCTTTTAAATGTTCTATTTTCTAAGAACACAAAATTCTAGAGTAGAAAGAACTCTTATACTTTAAAGCTTTACCCCAGGAAATTGAAGTGTAAAAAGAGACTTGCTTAAAATCATATGGCTGGGGGCCGGCAGTGGCATGGTGGTTAAGGGCGCTGGACTCCCACATGGCTTACCTCAGCTTGAGTCCCAGACCTGGCAGCTTGCTCTCTCTCTCACTCTGTCCCTCTCTGGTTAAATTAAAATAAATAAGTAAATGGGTGAATAAAGTTAAAAAAAATTATAAAAAAAGAAATCATATGGCTGGTTGGCAGAATGGCTATATCTGGTTTCCAGTCCAAAGCTATTTCCTTTCTACTTCGTTAGCTATCTCTACCAACTGCTTGACCCGCCACGAATTCTACCACTAGAAATTATCCTTTTGTCAGTTTTGCTCATTTTGTAACTTCACCTCTCTAAACTTAGACAATAGTTCTCATCAAACCAGGGGCTCCTCCCTGGGACAGGAAGTTCTAGTAGTCATCCAGAATAACAATTACTAGGTCATCTCCTGACATCCTGAGCCTGTCAAGACCTTGCTCTTGCCTGTCAAGACCTTGCTCTTGCCACGGTCTGTTCTACCCAAGTACTCTGCAACTACAGTCAGATTGCGCAATCTGCAAATATTTACTGACCCGAACTACGTGTACCAGGAACCACACAAGCCCCAAGAAAACATAGCGCACGGATCCTGTCCTGGTTTGTATGCAAGGAATGTGTAACCTTATGTTAAATACTCACAAAATAGATGGTGTTTTCAGAATTCTTATTCCACCAGGCTGATTGGGGAATACATCTTCCAAAAAAAAATATATGTGTCCAACTGCAATACCTAGAGTCAACCAGAAATAAAGCATAAGAAGATTAAAATTTCCATAGCAGGTAATTTACTACCAACATAAATTGCTCATATTTAGGGTGTCATTGTAATAATTAAAAATGAATGAACTAATATTCTAGTTCTTGAGATACAGCTGTTGTATCATCCTGTAATAGTTAGGATGCTTTCTTGTGAAAGCAAGACAGGAAAACATCAAAAGTCATAATAAAATAAATTTACAGGAAAAGTAATAGAAAAAGCAGTAATAAGACTCTTACCCAAGAGGTCCACAATGATTGAGTTCCCCAACAATAAGGAAAACCCCATGAGCACCCAGGGCAGAAAGGGAGCCTGGAAGTTGAGAAGGCCAAAGAAGTTCATGCGGACATATGGGTTCCTTCGGCTCCACACGTAGACGAGCATTATTGTAAAGGCCTGGCCCAAGAAAACTAAGCTCACAAACAAACCAAAAAGCTAGCAGGTGGCATTAAGGAAAATATCAACATTACAAGCCTAACAAGGAAGACTGAACAAGGAATAAAGATTGTGTCCTAATGAACATTTCAATTGAGAACACTGAGCAGTAACATTTTGAGGATAGAAGGAAAAAAATCCTGAAAATAATTACCCAGAGCAATAATTAAAAACCTGGTTAGGCTAAATCATATCGATGACAGCTACTTCAAACTAATATTCTATTTTCATGAAGTTCCTGCCTCTTTGGAAAACGTGTTTAATTCTTTGGTCAACAGTTATATTGACGATTACTCACCCTGAACACTTTTGCAGAGATAAGTAAAATAACCCAACTGGAACAAAATCAGCTTGCCAGATAGTACAATATCCAAGTCTCGTACACAGATCGAAATTATTTTTTTAAAAATTTATCAGTTTTGGGGCCGGCAAGTGGCGTGGTGGTTAAAGGTGCTGGACTCCCACATGCCCGACCATGGTTCAAGTCTCGGACCTGGTGGCTTGCTTTCTCACTTCCTCTCTCTCTCTCTGTCTCTCTCTGATCAAACTGAAAAAATAATAATGATATAATAATAAATAAAGTTAAATAAAATAATTCTTTATTTAAAAAAAAGAAACTGCTGGATTAAGACAACACATTTAAAAAAAATAAATGATCAGTTTTGATAGTGACCAAGTAAGTCTTACCAACTTAGTTTAAAAGTAAAGTATACCCATCAACAGTCACGTAACTGACATATTTAATGGTAACCCACCTGGGTTAACAGTTCCTTTGACTTGCTCACAGTAGAAGAGCATTCTGTCCGACCTCTAGGCTTGGAAAGCTGTCACAGAAAGTGTGCTGTAAAATAAATGTAGGGCCCTGAAGCTAAAATCTGGAGGTCCACTTTTATCGATTTAGAATATCTAGAGCGAGTGGTGGGAGGCAGATGAAAACCTTTAGGAAGAGACAGAGTGTTCTTTAACATTTTCCTGTATTTATTCTATTTGTTGAAGGATACAGTCATTAAGAATCCACCAAAAAGGAACATAAATACAAAGTCTGCAGTTCGACCACGGAAAGAGCCTTCTTCTAGCATTCGACAGTAACGGTATCTTAGGTTCCAAGTTAAGAAAATGTTAAGTACACAAATATGAAGAAAATAAAATGTAATGTACCATTTAAGTATACATTACTTGGACTCTACATAATTCATAAGAAGTCAAGCCATCATTTTTATAAGGTTTGAACGCTAACGTGACTACTCTTAGGCACAATCAAAACTAAAACCATATTTTACAAAGAAAGCCCCTGACCAAGGGACTGATCCAGATGTTGAATAAACATGCTTCTAGTCACCTATAAAACTTATTCAAATCTGTATTGTCTTTCCCATGCTCAGCCCCACCTCAGTGTGCAACATCCTTGCTTTTCCAACCTAACATGGAAAAAAGTCCCATCAAGCAGCCTTATCTGATAAATGACTTTTCCAAGCCAGGCAGGTTAAGCATCATTAAACATCAATCAATAAAGACACACTACAGTGAGAAAGTCTTAGAGAGACACAGGAATCCATCCTAGGGCAGGAATGACATCACCCCTATAAGGCCCTCTCTCCACTGCAGACGAGCTGACCTGTGACTCTTCTTAAACTGGAGGGTGGGGGTAGAAGAGCAAGGCCCTGCTCAGTAACTTCAAGTACCATTTACCAGAGGAAGGCTCTTACTCTTCAGCAACTCAGGACATAGCAAGCCTAGCTGACATTGTAGCACAGTCTTTTCAGCCAGTAGATCTAGCAACTAAGACCCAAGGTAACCTATTTCCCCATTCCTCATGAAAACCTGTGCCGAATCTCTGATAACTGAACTATCCCCATATTCAAGTTATGTTTGACCACTTTACCTACTGATGCTATTATATTATATTCTCCCTTTATCAGATTTGTAAGCAACTTAAGGGTAGAAATGATACTGTCTTATGGTTAAAAAAACTCCCATTTGAACCTTAAAAATATTACTAACTCCTTTATTTACCGCTGACCCAGAAGTTATAGCTAAGATGGCATAAAAATAAATAGCAGGATTAATAGTTTCAACTTAATATTGAACTCTATAATTAAACCTGAAGTGTTGATGCTCACCCCACTTAATAAAGGATACAGAAAAATCATATTAAATAAGAAATTGAATCCAACTGGCCCAAAAAATAAGAAATTGGTGATTAACCTCCATATCTGTTAAAAAAAAAAAAAAAGTAAAGAGAAAGATGGATTAAATACATTACCAGGATACATTTCTATATTAAGACAAAAGAGATGAACTATGACCATGATGGCTGAAAGTCGTGGATAGGAGATATTCTGTTCTGAACCCAAAATTGGGCACACAAGCTAACCCTGGATGTGTGTGCTGCTTCTTACTGAATGTCAGAAGTCCATTTGCACTGGGAAATTTATAAGGACAGTAAGACAGAATATTTGACATTTTGATTGCCTTTTAAAAAGACTATACTATACAGTTAGGCAAATTATGAAATGTCTGATGGACAGACTACATTAATTTGCAGAATAGGAAACTTTTCATATGTGTAGTATCCCGATCTAACAAACAGTTCTGACATACCAGACAAAAACCTCAGGGATCTTCAATAAATTGCCACAAAATGTTTCTAAATAGGCAGCCGAAAACATTCAGATGAAAGGATAATTTTTTTTCTTTTTAAAGAATTATTTTATTTAACTTTATTTATTCATTTTAATTCAAGCAGAGTGAAAGAAAAAAAGAGAAAGTGAAAAAGCAAGCTGCCAGGTCCGGGACTCAAACCACAGTTCGCCATATGGGAAGTCCAGTGCCTTTAACCACCATGCCACCTGCCAGCCCCAAGAAAGATAACTAACTCTAAGGCAAAACTCAAGTTCTAGCTTGAGCTTATAGCCGACTCCCTATAAGAACTAATACTCTAGGGACCAGCAGTTAGCATAATGGCTATGTCGCTGAACTCCCATGTAGTTGACTGTGGTTCAAGTCCTGGACCCAGTGGCTTAAACTCACCCTAGGCACGTGTATGTGGTGCCCAAGATCTTGAGAGGAGAATGGAGGAGAATGGATTGCGGCGTGGCCATCCCCCTGGGGGGGGGTGATTTCTCACTTTCTATCTCTCTGTCTCTCTCTCTCTCTCTCTCTCTCTGTCTTTCTGGCGAGCGCATGCACCCTATAGCAAAAACCTCTCTAAAAAAAAATAATTAATAAAAAAAAAAGAACTAATACTCTAATAATTAGTCTAATTGGGAGATACAAAGAGAAACGTATTGGAAACCCTTCTACACCCTTCCCCAATCACTGAACCCATCCACAGCCACGATACATTGGTAGAACATGTTGAAGTGTTTTAGCATAGTACACTGTCTTACGTGATCTTAATAATCCTATGAAACAAGCATGCTGGTATTATTATCTCCATGTCACCGATGAAGAAACTAAAAGACTTGGATAGCTTTAAAAGGGCTTGTCCACAGACACACGGGCTGTAGATGGAAACTAATTTCAAATCTAGAACTCCTAATTCTAAATGCAAATGTAAAGTGTCAACAAGAATGTAACCCCAGGCAAAGTCAAACCAAGTTCCGGTAGAAGCAAAGACCATAGGAGTATTGAAGGAAGGCAGTGGCGACAAGAAATCACAGGGCTGAATCACGCATCACAAAATTCTTGAGTACTGGTAACTACTAAAGTTAAAACAATTCAGTTCTACATAATAATTGCATACAGGATTTTCAGCATCCTCATCCTAGTTAGGAGATAAACATATAAATAACTGCAGTCAGGGTGAGAGACGCTCTGACACAAAAAAAAGGATGAATACAAAAGCTGTATCTTAAAAGGCAAGCTAGAGTTCAGTGAATATAATGTGAATGAAACACACTTGAGAAAGAGGAAACAGTATGTGTTTTTCTTTTTTTCATTTTTTTCAGAGGTTTTTGCGATAAGGCACGTGCGCTCGCCAGACAGAGACAGACAGAGAGATAGAAAGCGAGAAATCAACCCCTGAGAGGAAATGGCCACGCCGCAATCCCTTCTCCTCCATTCTCCTCTCGGGATCTTGGGCACGCATGCACACACACCTGGCGTGAGTTTTAAGCCACTGGGTCCAGGATGCGAACCACAGTTGACTACATGGGAGTCCAGCGACATAGCCATTACGCTAACTGCTAGTCCCAGGAAACAGTATGTGTTGAGACAGAATTACTGGCTTTTTATTTTCTTCCTGATCATCCTAGAACAGGAAAATACATCTAGCTCTTAGTATTTTAAATACTGGAAACGCTTATCTACGACTATAATTTAATACACCAGCATGTTGACCCAGATGTTGGCCTTTTGAAGTTTTGTTAGTATGATCTGATCCCTGGAGATAGATCAGTTTTAAAGCACTAATAGAGGGCCAGCTTGTGGCTTGGTGGTTAAGGCAGCTGGATCTCACATGACTGACCGTGTGGCTCATGTCCAGGCAGAGGCGTGAAAAACATGCTGGGCACACATGTGTGCCCCAAATCCTGAAAGGAGAAATGCAGAAGGGAAGGCTGCATGACCATTACCCCATGGGGGATGCTTTCTCATTTCTCTGTCTCTCTTAGATAAGTGCAGTCATCCTCTGGGAAATTAAAAAAAAAAAAAAAAAAAAAAAAGACTAACAATTGAGTTTCTGAACTAGACCATGACCATGGTGATAACACCAAGGTGGTGGGTATGCCCAGGGGGGTGAATGGACAAAATAAGGCTGTCCTGTGAGTCTCTCTCTGGGCAGCTAACTGGTCAATCTCTTCTCAAACCAATTTCTTCTCCAACTACAGCATTAATTATAAACCAGTAATACCCAAATACATGAAATGGACACATCAAAATCGTGCAGGGAATGCTAAAAATAAAATACTGATTCTTCTTTTTAAAAAAATTTTGCCAGAGGGTACCTGCACTTGCATAGAGAAGGAGAGGGAGAAGGCACCCCCTAATGGGGTACAGCCACACTTCTCCATTTTTCAATCTTGTTGAGATTTGGGGCATAAGTGCCCACTATGTTTTTCAAATCGTCAGGGCTTGGATTCCAATAGTGTGGTTGGCCATGTTGGAGCCAGTTTCCTTAATCACTAGACCACGGTCTGGCCCAAAATATTGATTTTATTTATTTATTTTTTTGGAGAGGTTTTTGCTATAGGGTGCGTGTATTCGCCAGAAAGACAGAGAGAGAAAGAGACAGAAAATGAGAAATCAACCCCTGGGGGGGGGGTGCCATGCCGCAATCCCTTCTCTCAGGATCTTGGGCACACATGCATATGCACCAGGCATGAGTTTAAGCCACTGGGTCCGGGACTCGAACTGTGGTCAACTACATGGGAGCCTAGCGACATAGCCATTATGCAAACTGCTGGTCCATCTTTTTTCTTTTTTAATATATTTTTGCCAGAGAGCACATGTTCATGGGTCAGAGGGCCCCTGTACCTGGGGTGGGGTAAGGGGAGCAAGCAAGAAAGTGAGAGAAAGCATCCCCTTTCCACGAGGAATGATCACACTGCATTCCCTTCTCCTCCATTTCTCCCTCCTTTTGGGATTTTAGGCATGCATGTGTACATGTGCATATACACACACCTGGTGTATTCCACAAGGCAGTAGATCCAGGACTCAACCCATACAGCCTTTATTACCATAGTACAGGCTGGCCCCCAAAATACTGATTCTGAATTCCCACCCTTGGTGATTCTGATTAGGTACCCAAGGAACTAGAGACTCTCTTTAAAGTTTTCTATGTGATTCTGGAACACAATCAGGCTGCAGTCACTGCTTTATACACAACAATAAGACTTAAAATAAAAGGTTCCCACTGAATTCTTTTTTAACATAGTATATGACAAGATTTGCTATTAAACATTAAGAAAAAGAAACATTAATCACAGTTGTGATGGGCTACTTACTTGAAAATGTTTAAAGATTAATTCAGGATTGAAGTACAACTGAAAAGGTGTGATCAATTCCAACTGCTGAAATAGAAAAAGCGCTTCTTAAAGCAAATCGATCAAGAAACAAAATTTCACCATTTACAACCAAAGATGAGTAGAGCTAGCAATTTCCAACTCTCAGTCACTTAGATCGAATTCCTTTAAACCTTTCTTCTTAGGCCAGGGGAAGAGGTTGGTAAATGATTCTCAAGAATTGGTACAATTCTTTTGTTTCCTCAATACTAAACACAAACTAAGTTTATGTCGCAACAGCAGAGGGTGACATAATGCATGGATAGCAGACAAGTGGCGATATTTTAGATACAGGACAAGTAAGATCAGCTACCACCCATCTGCCCGTCACAATCTGCCCACCTCAAACAGCTGTGTAAAACAACACAACTCACTTGAAACAACACAACTCTCTTGAAATAATCGACTTGAGACCTTGCCACAACTGGGCTGGGTTTCCCTCTCGACAATTTCCAGCTTTCTAGCCTCAAAAGCTAAATTTCTTCGCTAAGCAAGCCTTCCTTCCACCTGGTCATCGCCAGAACTCTCGGGCACATTTCTTGGGTGAGGAGCTCCCGCAGCCCTGACCACCATAGGTCTAGTTTTCATCTCTCAGAAACTGATCTGATCCCTTATGGAGCAGCACTCCGTTCTTGGGTCACTAGATAGGCACTCTCCGGGCCATCCTGAACTCCACAGTGAGCCCTGTATGCCTCCACCCACCCCTGGGACCAGCCCCATTGGACGTCCCCGAGGCCCAAAGCCCAGTTTCCTGAAGACTTAGGCACATCCGCCCCGGAAAATAAGAAGGTGGACCTGCGGCTGCTCACCACAGCAGCGGTGGTGAGGACGCAGGCGGTGGTGTAGGCGCGGCTGACCGGCGGGATCTGCAGGTACTCCAGCCGGAGGCTCTGGTACGCCATCTTCCCCACCGCCGCCGGCCCCCCCCCCACTTCCCCTTCCGCCAGTAGGCCTGGGCAGCCGGGCGGACTCAAAGCGCCCGATCCTTCAGCCTACCCGCTGCTGTCCCATCAGCGCCCCGGAATCG